ACATTCATCTCTTTTGATTTTACAACTTTCTGCTAGTTTGTGTTGAACAAGTTCTCTGTAAAGATGACGCAAAATTATCTCAATATACTTTTTGTCGGAAAAAGCCAATAGATTTGTTATTATGAATTCTATTGCTTACAGTTTAGTACAGCTATTTCGGATTTCGCTGCTCTGTCATATTATGAACTTCTGTGTGGACGTTCATATTAGTTTTACTTAATCTAAGAAACTTATCCAAATGTAGCCTTTGTAATAAAGTGTAATTTTGATGTTTGAATATTATTCGTTTTTGACATCTTCTATCAGTGGAAAATTGTTTTAAATAATTTTCCTACCATTATATTTATTGCGTTTTATTATGCGTATTATTATATTGCGTTTCCATCATTCTTATGTACATCATGCCTGCATTCTAATCATTCGGGAGTGAATTTGTCAGTAGTTATTGCATTAAATGCATTAAAAATAAATCAAAATCTATATCGTAATTTCGTTTCGCACTAACGATTTGAAAACGTAGTTACAAAATTGAAAGTTAGACATGTTTTCAAAGTTTCTCGAATGTGTTACTTTGTCCTTTGGTTTTTGTCTACTATTGTATCACGAAGCATATGTTTCGTATGCCAACTTTAAATGAAGCCATCTTATCATCTTGGCGTTGAGGAAAAATTAATGTAGATTTATCGCCCACGCTGTAGAGAGTGTGACGTGTTAAGTGTGGCGTCAGAGAGAGCGGATTAAATCTCGCGTGTCTAGCGTGCGGAGCGCTCGTCCCCTTGTTGTGGGTTAGGGGTCGCACAGTGGAATAGTACTTCAAAAATCTAAAATACATAGTAGTTTTCATGTGTAGTTGTCATGTAAACTTCAGACGTAAAAAATAACTTTAAAAATTATTTAAATTATTATTATTAAACTTATTAGAGAAAATTCAACTTTTTTTTTCAAGAACAACCTGAAAACACCAAAAGTACTTTCTTTACCAGTAATGAATATACAACAATTAGAAAACAACACACAACACACCCCGAAGGGATAAATACGTAGTATGTTGTCATCTTTAATAAATTTGTATATTTCACTGATAAACTGACAAAAAATTGAGGTTTTGAATAAAACATTGTGCATCAAACGTCAAAAAGTAATTTCCACGGCCCAACAAGATTTCTAGACTAGGTCTGACGGCATCGTTCGGAAACTCTCCCATCTAGTCATGGAAACACCCACCTTATGTTTTCTTGAAGTAAATTATAACGATTCTGACTGAGCGAAGATGTGATCAAGTAAACATGTTTCGCTTTTCACATGAGAAGCATTTTGGAATCCTTTTTCCATGAATTTGATTGAGCCAGAATATGTAATCACCGGTACGGATGGCCGAGATCGCTAAGGCAGTAGTGCCGTAGCGATCTCGGAGCGAAGGATCGCGGGTTCGAGTCCCGCCTCGGGCATGGTTGTATTTGTGTTCGCCCTTTCACATCGTGTCATCCTCCTAGTTATCATACTGTTACATGCAATAGTGGTCGCTAATGACCCAGTACTTGATGCGACCTTAAATAACAACAAAGAAAGATGTGATCAAGAGAACATTTTTTACTTTCCTCATTTGAAGCATATTTGACCGTCTTTTCGTGATTCCGCCTGATCAAAGATGTTATCAACTGAAGTTTTTTTACATTGCACATTCGAAACGTTTTCCTGCAAGGCGCACTGTGCGCTGGGCGTGGACGAGGAGGGGGGCGAGGGAAGGCGAGAGGGCCGCGCCCCTAGTGACGGTTCGCGTGACTAGGGCGCGGAGAAGTAGCACTCGAGTGCGGCAGCACGAGCGACCCCTCAGCCCCCCCCCCCTTCACGCCTTCCAATGTCATGCGCGGTTCACGGGCGAGGTCACACTTGCAGTGTTGCGTCCTCAGACCGTAATTTCGTTTGGACAGTTTAGAGCTGAGATCGCTTGATCGTAAGCTAGTAGCAGCTCGCGGGGAAAATTTGTCGGTAGATTGCATTGTCGCGCTCAGGTGGTTTAACCAGGAGTTGGTTAACTGAGGTGGTGAGGTGACTCAAGAGGTTAACTTAGCTCAGACTAAAAAAAGCCGTTTTCATATTCCTGCGCAACTGTCACTGTCAGTCTCGTTGTTGATTATGTGATATTGGTGTAATGGTTGGCGTGTGTACATCAGACTTTAGCTGATGTGGTTAGTTTGATGAAAGTTATTATTTCTGTCCTGGTTTTGTTTGTTCACACTAAGATTTCATTTTTTTCATCTTCTGCATTATTGCACTCTACTAAATGTTCGATAATGGATGTTAGGGATCCATCACAGTGTAAATGTCGTTAGGGATCCTTTTTCACGGCGGTATTAATTTTTTATCAACATATGGTCACGATAAAAAATGTCAAAACAATCAAAATAATGATCATTAAACAATCACTGCCGCATGGCAGACCGCAATCACTACGCGTCCTTTCGATGAATTCGGAGTTGTGGCAAACGCGCGCATGCCCAATGTCACCTTTGAGGCATCAGAAGCTTCGCTGCGCATTCGCAATGGCTGGACCTCAGGAATCGTTCGTCAATTGGACGCCTGTCAATTGCGACATAAATTCTCACTAGCGATAGCGTAAGTTAAGCATTTGATTTGTAATACGTGCAAAAATGTGAATTGTACATTTGTTTACATAATTTATATTTTGTAATGTCCATTTATACTCTGTAGTCCTCATAAGATGTGTTACAGCCTACTCAAATTTATTTACCTCTTATGCAGAAAACAAGTACGAAAGGAATATAAATGTTTATCATTGTTAGTTTGAATGACATTTGAAATATTTGGGAAAATAGTTATGAAACTTAAAGACGATTACATTTGTGCAGCTTTCAATTATTTTTGCCCTTTTTTTGAAACATCACCCGGTACAAACACTGCCTGGGGTCATTTATATTTAAAGATTTAAAAAGAACACTATTTTAGTCGAGTTTGATACAATTTAAAATGCACCACGCATTGTATGATTTCTCTGGAGATGCAAAAGATTGCAACTAACGAAGCTTTCATAAAAAGACTCAGAACGAGATACTCCACCAAAAGTACTTAACTGTTCTCGGGAAAACTTTGCAACGACTTGTAAGTTTTGTTAGTGGTGGAATGTATTAGAATACATAATCAGAAAGAAATGTCACATTTCATTTTTCTTCCGCTAGACTATTGCCTAGTCTTACGAATTCTCTCGACCACTTTAACACTGCGCCTGGTCCGTTTGCTCCTTGAAATGAAAAGATTCGATTACTCCCATGTTGAGGACAATTTCCATGTGAAACGTTGAAAGTTCTCACAAGTTTGTAAGTTGTATAACTTTTCTTTCTCGCGACTTCAGAACTTTCCCCGATTTTCCGGTTGCACAAGCGTTTAATGTCTCGTCCCTCGCACGCCATGCTGCGAACTCACTTTTTCCTCGGGGACGCCATTTCCGGGGGAGATTGCGTCACAGTTCTTACGTGGGCTGCGGACTTTCCACGTGTGCCTCCGTCTGCCAAAAACTGTCTTGGGATGAAAATTTCAGTTAAAGACTTGTTCTGAATCCTTAATTCTAAAAACGCTTCTCTTTAGAATTCGTATTTCGCGAGAGGACTACTAAATCGCAAGTATAGTGCAGGAAGAAGATCAATGTTCAAGGTTCTTATGAATTTCAGACAAATGTAGACGTAATACTAGATTTTATCATTTTTACACCGATTTTCCTGAATTTGCAAAAAAGTAGATCGAAAAATGCTGAAAACGTGTAATTAATTCTCTAATATTAGAAATTTGTTTTTTCTAGACATTTCTATTTCCCAGTAACGAAAAGAAATACTTCTTTCAAATAATCTTCTTCTTGAAAATAATTATTTCTTTTTACGAATTAAAGAAATTGATACTCTTTATGAGACGATCTTTAGAAAAGAAACGTTGGAAGATTTCTCATTAGTAATTAACAGCATTTTCGCCAGAAGAAAAGAATCAAAATCAAATGAAATAATCAAATATCAACCTATACATTGGCCATAGCCATAGCTTATTATTATAGCCAACATAGGACATAACTTATGACTTCGGCTTACTGCCAATATGCATTGCAGATTGAATTACACAAAAAATCGTATTTCACCCCGTCAGAAGATGAACTTTGAAAACTCTCTTCTTGTTGGTTGCATACATCGTAATTGGTACTATATCCCAAATTTCACTATATTGGCTTTCTACTCAGTCAGTTTTTTCTCTTGTAATTTAAGATGTAAGACTGTAGCTTTATTACTGATTTGATTCTGTTTTGCAGAGATGCACGAGCCTCCATACTACACCCACTACTCACATTCGCGATTGCTCGTGCACAACGTGGTGACATCCAAGTACTTCGACCTCGCCATCGCCGCTGTCATAGGTCTCAACGTAGTCACTATGGCGCTGGAATTCTACCTCATGCCGGCGGTAATATGAAAAGTTCTTTATTTTTCCTCCTCTAGCAAAAATGTCGTTCTTGTTCACGGTGAGGCTACAATTTTTTCTAAGTGAAAGAAATCACAAGTTTTTGTGGTTGAAAATTTTGTTGATGAAAATGTGTTTTCCCATCGGTTTTGACCATCGAGTTGTTTATTAAAATTTTGTTAAATTAGATTAGTGTCAGTTCACTCTTCATCGAATAGTTAAAGGGGAAATATCATGTAAGTTACTCGAGGACTTAATTGTGGAACATCGAGAGACTGTCTTTTTAGATTCGAAGGATTTGCCTAGATGAGCAGAAGAAGTATTTTGAGCTGGAGAGATGCATGGAAACAAAGAGGAATTTAGGTGATGGATAAATGAGTGCGACGAGTTTTTGATATGTGTAAGTTATTTATGTTTAATATAGATCAAAATATACGTTATTCAGTTCCTAATTTTCAACTTTTTTGATATCATCTCCATTGCGAAATAAGTTTTCTGATTTTTTAGAGTGTCAAAATTAACTTGCTATCACGGTTTGTGAAATGCCTTCAACCATGCGCTCCCGCGTCGCACAGGCTCTCCAGTATGCGCTGAAGATCTTCAACTACTTCTTCACGGCCGTGTTCATCCTGGAAGCCGCCATGAAGCTGGTTGCCCTGGGCGCGCTGCTGTACTTCCGCGACCGCTGGAACCAGCTGGACGTGATGATCGTGGTGCTGTCGGTCGTGGGCATTGTGCTGGAGGAGGTGCAGAGCAAGATCATTCCCATCAACCCTACCATCATACGCGTAATGCGAGTGCTGCGAATAGCGAGAGGTGGGGCTTCCTCAAACTTTCGTTTTTTTTCTTGTTTGTTTATTCTTTCATATTTCCGACCGATTTGTGGGTAAATTATTCCTCAAAATGACTGGTATGTGGGCTAAAAAACCGAAATAGTCTTATTAAAAGTCGATACCATGTATTTTTAAACATTTTATTCCATAATCTCTAAATCAAGCAAATGCCTTATCTATGCCTCCATCAAGGCTTCCTCAAACTTTCTTTGTTGTTGTTTTTTTGTTTGTTTTTTCATATTTCCTCCCGATTTGTGGGTAAATTATTCCTCAAAAGACTGCTATGTGGGCGAAAAAAGCGAAGTCGTCTTAATAAAAGTCTGTATCGCGAGTTTTAAAAAATTAATAAACATCTATACCTTGATTTTCTGTCAAGTTACCTCGTCGTTAAGGGTCGGATAATAATGAAATAATTAATATTGTTCTGACTCGTTTCTATCGTGTTTACTCGATTCAGGTTTAAAGAAACCGCTATTTAAGTGATAAACTGAAGGTGCACTTAAACAGTAATTTAATTACATTAAATCTGACGGTAAACCAAGAGAATATTTGTTCTGTTCTGTCTTCCCTGACAGGTAAACATAAAATGGGGAATCCGCTTTAAGTTGTTTTTTTTTTCACTCAAAAAGGAGTATTCAAAAAATAAGAATACAATAATCTACTAATAAGGAAGGAAATACCCGAACAACATTAGAGAAAAGAACAAAAACATGCAAATTTAAGAGTGTCAATATCATATTTCTGAGAATAAAATAATCTACACGAACGAAATGTAAATATTGAATTTGAGAATCAAACTAAAAATACTTTCAACAAATTAAACCCAACTATACTATATCGGTAACTAAAATATGAACAGCAAAGATAATGGAGATAATAGAATTGAAAATAAGAAATAATAATATAAAAAAATTAATTGGATTTAGTGTAATAACTTAAAATGTTACTGAACAATAAAAATATCTCTAGATCCCACGTTCATAATATTTTATTGGCGCGTCCAATCAAGTAGTATTGTCAGCGGCATCAAAAGATGCACAAAACATTTCGTAGCTGAATGACCGTGCCTGTCAATACTCGAAAAGTTAAACCATGCATCGGTATGGAAGATATAAAAATGGATCTCTAGTAACAGGAATAATATTTCTCATGCTGCATGTGTAGTAAACGAAAAGAGGCACACGAGCGTAATATAACACTATTCACGCACTTGTTTGTTAGTACTTCACATACGCATCAGAGGTGTTTTTCAATCTCCGCATTGGTGATAAATGGATGCTTTCATTGCGCGAAGGCACAAATAGATTTAACCTACTTAGACACTGAGCTCAACGTTATCGGGCATAGCCTCGATGGCTGTTACTGGGCGGGCCCCCTAGAACCAACACCGCATCTACAACCAATGTGTGTAGGCACCAAAAGCACTCTTTCAGAAACCGGCTAATCTTAGCTCAGAGCCAGCATTGCCGCCAACTCTGGAGACGTCTCTGATTGGAAAGGTCCATAAGTTTCTCGATGCGGAAGGTCATAGGCGAGGTCGGATTCATTCTGCTATCTCGAGAAGAAATCTAACGGGGAACTGCTCGAGTTGTGCTTCCGTGGTTCTTCTGTCAATACCAGGCGAGAAAGTAACCTCACAAACAGGCCGCACGACCGCCAACGGCGATCTTTCCTTCCTCTTCCTAGTCCTAATCGCCTTCGCTTCTACATGCACACACACTTACAGAACGCACCAACACCAGTGTCAAGGAACACATGACAAGGCCAGGAAAGTTTATCAGCTCGGCCTCTTCTGGGGCAGGGCCCTGCGGAGGGGAAACCCCTGCGCCAGCTGACGTATAGGCCGGCGCGGATCTCACCATCGCAATGGGGTGATTGGCAACAGCCATTGCTGGAAAAAACATCACTACAACTTAAGGTACTTACGGCGGTAAGGGTTGCGCCGGAAACATCAAATCGAACTTGCCGGAAGGGAAGTAGAAAGATGGCGCGCGGCCCCGTGGCAACCCACGTGTCGGCGGCTGCCCCGGAAGGTCAGAAGTCAGCTTGCAAGCGAGCTTTCTGAAAAACTGCGCCTCCATCGGCCGCTACCTCTCCCCCCCTCCTCTCCGTGCGCAGTGCTGAAGCTGCTGAAGATGGCGAAGGGGATCCGCGCGGCTGCTGGACACCGTGGATGCAGGCGCTGCCCTCAAGGTGGGCAACCTGGGGTCTGCTCTTCCTCTTACTTCTTCTCATCTTTCGCGGCCGCTGGGAGTGGAGCTGTTCGCCGTCTGGGTTGAGTCCACGACTTGACGCGCGTAATTTCCGAGCGGCGGTGCTTCCATTTCCGTTTTGTTTTCTGTCCCGTCCTCAAATATTAATTTTATATCTAGTGGCTGAACAGTGAAAGGGGGTTCCGTTATTCCAATTCAAGATACTTCAATTTGGTGATGGTCACAGCAGAGTTACGGATGCTTCTTCAAAAAAATGAAATCTTACAGCCGCGAAGCAACTGAAAAATGAATAGCGTCAATTTGGCGCTGTTTTGTTTGGGTTATGCATCGTAATGTGGGCGATTCGCCGTCTACTGTTAAGTGCTCTCCGGTTTAGACGATTTCTTTCCTTGTACTGCAGCAATGTGTACTGCTGCGATGTAAGAACATGCCAATACGTCCACGTGACGGCCTTCCGAGTAAAAGGCAGCATCGCTCTACCCACCCCCCAGCTGTTCAAGTAGACAAATTATTATCGGACTAATAGTTGTGCATACCAAAATAAATTTAAAACTATTCTCCTTCATGAGGATAAATTGTGAATCTATACATACTGTTTCTCTCAGTGATTATGGTATTTGAAAGGTGTTGAATCATCAATAAATTATAAGGAATGTGAAAAACTTGTCCTTACTTACATATTGTTGTTTCATGGAGATATGGTCAATGGGAATGTGGTGTTATCAGTAATGGAATACCACGCTTGGTGTCAGAATATTCTTTAACAAACTATAACATATACATTTGTTTTCAAATTGGGAAAAGTGGATCGACCACCGTGATCCGCAAGATACATGTAATTTTCTGCTCTCATTTTTGTTGTCAACGAGAGACAAAAATAACTTTTTCAAATAATCTCTAGGCATAATGATATAAGAGGAATGGAAGATGATTAAAATTATGCAATTTCACATTATAAGTACCTCAAATTGACTCAAACTACGATTATTATTATTGCGAAAATATTAATGACATAATGTTGCTTTAGTATGTGTTAATAGAAGTGTTTCACTCTTATTGCCGAATGAATAATTAAGGATAATGAATTAGTAAGTAGTGATTTCGTAAATTTTATGTTAATTACGTTCTTCCTATTTTCCTAATTTCTTCCAATATTTTTCGCAGTTTTAATTCTTTACGTGTTTCGTTCTCTCTCGTTAAGAGGCACCTATTTAAGAGCACGTTGTTGTGTTCCTAATCATGTATTTTGCTTTAATTCCACACTAAACTATTCTTATGATTCTGTTCCTAATATTTTTCTTGTTTTTTTTAAACACCCTTTTTGAAATATGTAAATCGTCTGTAAAATAAAAATATCTCCGATTTTAAATTTATCGTCTTCTGTCTTTACATCCAAATAATTTCTTAAATTGAGTTCTGGTTGTATTGAATGTTAAAAAGCATATTGTAGAACATTCCGTCCTTTCTTGCTGTTTTCTTTTTAAAAAATAATTGGCATTGACTTTTTTTTGAATGTTGTATGTATATTTGTTTAATTTAATGTTATCTTTTTTAATCTATCTGTTTAATCTTATAGCTTTTCCTCGTAAAATAATAATGTTTATATAATACTTCCAAAAAATTCTTACGTAACATCTCTTGGCATTCTCTGTTGATTATTTACTTTTGATTTTATTTTAAAATGTTTAAAAAATGTGTAGTGCAACTTTTTAAACATTGGTTGTAACTCGTTTTTTTTTTCTTTTGAATAACTCTCTTTTTTTTCCAAATATGCGTTCCTCTTTCTTGTTCTCTGTGTTATGTTCGCTTCGCTCACGAGCGAGCTTCGAAACGCGTGTCCCGGCTTGCCAGAATGCAGCGACGACAACCGGCCCAAGGGGCTGGGCGAGCACGCGCACTCAGCAATTTCGGGCATGGCCCTTCCTGAACGCGGTTCCGGTGGCAACGGGCGACACTGAACGGCATCAATGAAGGAACACCTGCGGGCCAATTGCAACCCTGATGCCGAGTGCGTGAAGAACTGTCTGCGTGTCCACCATCATCAGCCCCCATTTCTTCGTCCATCTTCGTCCCAGGGCCAATTGTGCTCGTCAACGTGGGGGCCGTGCTCATGAAGCATCTGGAGAATCGCACAAACAGGTCAGTGCCTCCGTTCCAAATGGCCACAGCACTCGTTTCCATACTCAAGACAAGGTTCAATACAATAGTTGCTGCATAACCATATAATTTAAAACTAGTCTCCTTCATATAAATATTGTGATTTCATAAATAGTGTCTCTAGTGATTGTAATGGTATTTAAAAGATTGTTTGGGAATCAAGTCTAAGATTAGATAAGCAATGGAAAACTTTTCCCGCTTAACTGTAATGCTTTCCCTATAATTGCCTTTCCAGGACATGCCATACTTATTTTAATGAAGTCACTATACTGTCCATTACTCTGACCTCAAGTACTTCCTTTCCACTGTTTTAACTTTTAAGTACCATTACATAGTTGTAGATATGAAATTACTGTTCATCTAAATGAATAAGTGAAGAATGAATGATGTAATGAATACGTAAAGTTAAGTAAAATCCTGTTCGCCTGCACCTATAAATAATAAATATTTTGAAAAGATCTTTTGTTTAAGTGGGTAGTGTCAGTTTGAAAAACGGATATACGAATATCGCGACCACTGTTTCAATGAATCTCGAAGACGCGGATAACATTCGCATAAAAGTACTAAACGCATTGATACATTTATGGCATTGCCAACCCAGGCCAACATAATTGGACCGCGAAAGGTGTCTTCAAGACACATGTAGACCTCTTCAAACTATTCAAGTGTGAAAGTATTGTTGTAATAAAACATTTATCCCTCATTCGTGACAAAAGAGGAAAAAATAAAACACTAGTTATTCACAAAATTTTTGTCACTCTAGCAGTAAAAGACTGCCCAGTGCGCTCGTTTTTATACCATTAGTCCCCGTTTACATTTTTGTTTTTGTTTTTTTTTAGAATAGGAGTCTAGCACTCGCAGAAACGTTTGTTGTCTGACAAATGCAACTAGCTGCAACGAAAAAACCGACCTATTCTAAAGCGAAATCTTATGGAGATTTCGATTGCATACATTGATACACTTCGTGTCTCTAACAAGCTTATTATGATTTTATTCAATTCAAATATTCCCCCAAAATAGTTTTCACACTGCAGTTTTTAAAGCTAACAATAAACACATTTCTATTGGTATTTATTGGTACCAAACATTGGGCGTGGATTAAACACTATTTCGAAGGTCAATTACATTTCCCACAATCTCTGCGCGAATTTTTCAAACTCAGCGAGACCACCTAAACAATTGAGTAATGAAGCAAAAATGTAAATGTCGAAAATGTCAAGAGGGAATAGAAAAAGCTTAATTTTACACTTCGCAAAAATCTTGTATTTGACAGTTCGTTCATCTTCTCCATTAGTTTTCCTTGCCTAGATGGCGCGCAAAATCACGCGCAAGTTAGTAAAGAACGATTGCATCTATTAATTATGTTCATAGAGAGCTCTCATCCTTCTCTACGCGATATATTTTTGCAGTCGGACGCTTTCAACGCGAGTAAGCGACATGCGCGGAGCGAAAAACGCAGGGGGACATGAAAAATCAAACAAAAAGAAAAACGAATAAGCCGACGCTTCATCATTATAACACCCGCTCTTTCAGACCCGCCCGGTTTGCGCGAATACGGGCCGTTTTCTAAGGCTTTTAGTGCTGATTACGCGGAGACGGCTGTCTCGTCCGCGAAAGTGTTTCATATTTCTCATTTTATTTCTTCTCCGCCAGGGAAGCTTTTTCTAGGCATCGGCAGCCTTTGTGTCGCGCTGGGAGTTCAAATTTAACTGCGGAGGAAGGAGGCGAAGGGCCGCAAGCTAAACGAGGCAGCGAGCGGCACCGCCTCCCGTTAAGCAGGCGCGCGTCCAGAGCCGCGCGCGCGCTGTCTTGCAATCCAGGAGGCCGTGCGCCGCCGGGTCGCGCGAGGGGGCCGGGCGAGCAGGTAGCGCCAGGCTGGCAACGTGAACGCGTCGGAATTCGAAAGCCTGCGATTAGAGTTCTTAAGTCAAAAAAGATCCCATTGCGTCTTGATATCATCGATGCCAAGTTGTAACACAATCTCTAATTCGAACCCTTTCGAGCTGGAGCTTTTTAAAGTGTGGACAGCTGTCGTGATTCAGAAAACTGCATGGTGCTAAATTGATCGAATTTCTAATCTACTATTTTCTTTGCTGCCAAAGAAAAGAGAAACACATTCCTGTTAGCATGGATATAATACCTTAAAAATCCTCCCAATAAATT